CACTATATACTGCTAGACAATTCAGCAATTGCAACTTGCAAGTTGAATTCTGAATTAATACAGTATAACAGAAATTTGAACATCAAATTTGACAAGTTATCCCCGATAACTAAAACAAAATGTGCGTAAATTTTCTAAAATAGGTTTGAATTAACCTTTTACTATGCAAAAAAAAAAAAATGAAGTCAAAAATTAATTAGTGTGATTATATTGTCAACTTCACGTTTCTTTTATTTTAATAAACTAAGCTGCACAACATAATCGCATCACTTAAATTTTGATTTCTTCAAAACTAATTTTCAAAGATACATTTAACCGTACCTGTATTCAGTTAATCGAAAACGCAACTCTGTATTATTACAGAGCATATAAAGTAACTCTTAACTATTAATGACAATTACATAAATATATTTTATTTTAGTCATCCTACAAAAAATTTAAGCATATAAAATGAAAATTATGTTGTTGTTGAGTACGACGTCACAATAACAAAAACAAATTTTTGACATTCATTGATTGAAATAGATTGAATGTTTAAAAGTTTTGCTTGAAGCTCATTATTTATTTTATATAGCTATAGAGAATACAAATATGATATTAAAATCATCCATATTAGTACATACATATATTTATATATACAATATGTATATTTTATACATAATATACATATATTTTTATATTCTATAATTATTTAATATATTTTTAGAATCGTTTAAGTTTGAATAAAAATACAAAACTTTAAGAAAAAAATAATAAAAATAAATTTATTTGCATTTTTAAAAACTATGAGGACTTTTTTATAATTCTATTTTTATGGCAATTTGTGCATGCTTCATAACTATAATAGTCTAGAAATCAAAACAATATGAAAAAGCAAAAAAAAAATAAGAAATCGTATTTTAGCTCTCATTTTAGAAATATTCCACATTATTTTGCAGGTTTGTCAGTTTGATTCTGTATTTAATTATTTCAATTTTATTTAAAAAACAATAAAACTAAAAATTTTTAGCTTTTCTTTATTAAAATTTACATTTTCTTTGTTTTTTATTAATTTTATTTTTAACGCAACGAATACTAACCACAATGCTATTCAGTACGATTTGAAAGCTAAAAATGTTTCATTATTTTTGACATAATGAAATTTCATTTTAGATTGCCATTGTCATAAAAAGTTTACAATTTATAATATTAAGTTATTCTGGCAACTGGTAAATTTCATTATAATTAATTGATCTTTTAACACAAAACATGCATAAATGTTTAAAGAAATCACTACAAAAACACATTTATCAAATATATACATATATTAATTTATAAAGATATTATATACCTATTTAATGAATCGTATACAACACTAAAACATGTTTGCAAGAGGAATATTTAGTCAGAAAAGGGTCCACAAAGGAATAATTGTATAAGATTAATAAATAACTAAGGTCGCTTCCCAGTATATCGAAAATTTGGTAATCATTGCAATCATGTCGGTCACTTCAATTGTTTGATTTTGCATATGATCGTTTTGTTATTTACATACAATGAACTTACAATTTGACTATTCACTTATCTGCCAAAAAATGCAAAAAAATACTAAAATTATCGTCAATTCTGTTAGCAAAACTATTTGGATTTATAACATTTGCATTTTAAATTCTAAAAATTCATAATTAAAGTCTATTGCAAGAGTTTGACACCAAATTTCATTATTTTATTTATTATGTTTGAAATTGCACGAAGAAAATTTTTCTACATAATGAAATTCAAATGATACTATAATGCTAAAGTAAAAATTGGTTATTTTAAAATTAATGGATTCAAAATTTCAAAAACAAAAATGTTAATAATTTATCAAAATTAAATATTTCAAAAACTCTAAAATATTTAATAAATACTTTGGTTTCATTATTACCTAACCAAAATAAACTTATCATATTCGAAAACTTCTTTTTAAACTTTTACCTTGCTGAATTTCCACTAGACATTTGTAACAAATAAATAATTAAGTAATTATTAATAATACTTAATTAATTAATTAATTAAGTATTATTAGTTACTTATTTATTTCATTAAAATATTCTCAAAATATAATCAAAAATAGTTTTTGATCAAATACCAACAGCGAAGATTTATCTTCAAAATGAAGATAAATCAAAATGATTTTTAAAATTGTACAATTTTAGTTACAAAAAAATATTTTTAATATAAAGGCTTTTCAATGCTAATGAAGATTTTCGAAATTAGAATTTTTTACACTTGAATATAAAATTAAAGATCTCGAATGATTCGTGAAGATTTTTTTTTATCAAATTTTCGAAATGAAGATTTTATTTTAAAAAACTGAAGAAATCTGAATTAATCTATTTGGCAACACTGATCACATGTGTTAATTTAGAATCGAAACCTAAAACAAGATTAATTGAAAAAAATACGGTCACATAAACTACAGCTAATAAACAATTAAAAGTTAGAATGTAAAATAAGTTTCATAGTGACAAATATATGTCGTGAATTTCGAAATTCTGTGAATAAAAATCATTAGGAAACTGATATCAAGATTTAGTATTTTAACTTATAATTGAATTCCATGATTAGTGTTAAATCAATTGTAAATTCGATTACATGCGCGCACCTTGAAAAATATATAATATTAAAATTGTGTGCAAGACTCTTGGTACATAATTTCCATAAATATACATTAGAATTTGGTCGCTTTCTATTATATCAAAAAAAATTTTACTGTCATGTCAACTACGTCAATCGCTTCATTTTACAAATAACACCAATCTACAATAATATAATTTTTACAATGACATATTAGAATTTTAGTGTCATCTTATTGTCATATTTCAAAATAATGCAAAACAAACTAATAGTGACAGTCAATTACGTTAACAACGTGTCTTAAAGTTCATAACGCATGGGCCAGCCTTGATACATTGGAATTCATGACTTACGTCGATTTTTATGAACATTGAAAAATAACCATTCTTACTGTCAAAATCTGCATTATCCTATCACAAAGACAATGTAGCTTGCAAATCTTATATGAAATGAGGTGAAAAATTTAATTGAAATAACAGACAGCCAGAATAACTGCAATAAATAAGAATAATTATACAAAATTGCATTTTTTTTTGTAAATTAATTATTTTAACTTTAAGAAAGCAAAACTACTCGTATATTGAAATTAATTATTATTTAAATATCATTACATACATTATTAGAATATCCAATCAAAATTTAAACCACATTAAAAATCAATAAATTTATTTTGAATCAAAAATTGAATTGAAAAAATTATAAAAGTAGAATTTTTATTACATAGCTTTTTTTTTCATATTAAGAAAACAAAAATAATTATATATTCTTTTTTATATAAGTATGTACATTTTATAAACATAAATAATAATTTTCTTACAAACAAAAAAAAATTCAATATTTTTTTCAATTTTTCATTATAATCTCTTTTTTATATATAATTATAAATTTGTTTACAGATGCTTTAAATTTTTTATAAAAATAAAAAAAATCTTATATAAATAAATGAAAAAAATATACTCTATTACATAATTATATTAAATATTTTATATATATTTTGTCTTATATAAGAATTATTTTATTTTTTTTTTTTGTTTTTTACCATTTTACGATGTGTTATATTTGCAAAAATACAAATTAAAAACTTAAAAAAAAAAATTGAAACAAAATAATGGAATTGAAACTCCTCAACAACTCCGAAAAATTTACAATTAAAAAAAATAAATAAAACACAAATATTTGTAACACACCTACGACCCCAACCCCGACCAACCAAATATCTACGATAATCAATTGATAAAAAAAATATTTCTGAAATAATAACACCAACCGTTGCTTTTTCACCTTTAAAATATATTTTTTAAACAATATTTATTATTCAACAACAATATGGAATTGAAATTAAATTAACAATAAAACAATTATACATATTTATATAATGTTTATATAAAATTTAAAAAAAAAAAAATACGAAATATTTTGAATTTGATCATCAATATGGGTTTACAAAATCCAAATGAATTGAATTGAAAAAATGTACGACAACAATGAAATGAAAATATTAACCTACAAAATTCAATAAAATACCACAACAACAACAACAACAAAATATATACAAAATACGAATTTATATTGGAATAATGCGCTCCGCTCCGCTTCAACTACGCGTGCTGCTACGAAATATTTATGCACTTTTTTTAATATTTTAACTTATACAACGCATATATAATACGAAAAAAATATTAAATTCAATACTTTAAAAATAAAAAAAAAAACAATATTTAATAAACAATTTTACATACTGTGTGTGTTTTAAATTCAACTTTGGTTTTTGTATAAAATTAAAAAAAAAACATTTATTAAATGTTAAATTTTATGGGTAAAAATAAAACATACAATTTTCTTTGATTATTTTTTTCCTCAACTCACAAAAATTCTTTTTTTTTTCAATTATATTATATACATTATTATATAATTACAATTTATGTTTGATTTAATTTGATTATAAATTGCGTTATAATTTCCTCTCTTTATCTATCTCTCTCTCTTACGTATTACTTTTACGCCATTTCTGTTTAATTATATTTTATTTATTACATTTTTTTTTATTAAATTCATTATTAAAATACAAAATTTATTTAAAAAAAAAATATTAAATTTCAATTAATTAAATTTTTTTCTTTTTTTCATAATTTCATTATATTCTCATTTTATTTCAAAATTTTTAACTCTCATTATCTCTCTACTATCGTCTTTTCCTTTAATAATAAATACTTTAATAATTATTATTCCATTATACCAAATCAATGTTTTTTTTTGCATTTTACAAATGATCTCATATTAAATTTATTAACTAAATGTTTATTTTATTTCAACCAATAACATACATAAAATATTTATAAAAAAAAAACTACAAATTATAAACTATTATCAAAAATTACAATAAAAAAAACCAACATTTGTAGAGAATTACCATGGGTCAAATACAGTGTTTTTAGTTGGTATACTGATGTCAGTTGTTGGGTTCGTTTTTGTAACATTCACTTTAATGGCACTGTGCTACAGGTCAGTTGTAGTACATAGAAACTTCTCCCTGTGTCTGAGGTTAGTTGAAAAGAAATAATGAAAAAAGAAAAAAAAAATAACAATAAACTAAATTAATTAATCGAAAATGTTAATTAATTAACAAACCACCAAAAAAGAAGTAAAAAAATTAATTTATTTTGAAATTTACGATGTTCAAAAAAAAGAAAGAGTTAAAAACTTTTTTTCTTCTTCAAAAAAATCCTAAAAGACAAGACGAAGAAAATAAAAAAAATTTTCGCACTCGATTTTTAATGAAGTTTTCAAAATTAAATTTTTTAATAAATAAAAATATATTTTTTTTTATTAATAATTTTCTTTAAATTGCCACTAAGAAAAAATATTAAATAACAATGGCTTTTGTAGATAATTTTTTTTCTAAACAATTTTTACTATTTAAAAGAATACAAAGTTGAAAAAAAAAAATTTTTTTTTGGTTTTAAATTTTATTTTTTTTTCAATATCAACTTTGAATTTATGTTTTTTCTTAATTTTTTTCTATTTCGTTTTTAAATTCAATGTTTTTTTTTTTTTTTAAATCTTCTCGAATTCATACATTTGAAGTTATCTTCAAAAACAAATTAAGAAATTAAAAACTAACGAAATAATTAAAAAAAAAACAAGGAAAACGATTTTTTATTTAATTTGCAAAAACAAAACACAAGACAAAATAAAATTATGTAAAATACAAGGGCAAAATGCAGAAGCGGAAAACAGTAATACTCGAATAGGCTGATAAAAACAGAAATAGGTTTTCATTTACGTCAAATTAATCATGGTATCTAAAAAAACTACTGTAGAATTTGATTTTTCCTATATGTAATTCGAAAAAATACAAAAACAATAATATAATTTGTCCGTTAGTTGAATTATATGACATTTTAATTTGAATATTTATTTTGACATGAATTATTGTTCAAGTTATTTTTTAATATTCATACAAAAATATTAATTTACGATCCACAAAAAAATAAAATGCCTTGTTGAATCAATATATCATCCTGCAAAAACGGATAAGTTTCGATAAATCTGCAAAAACGGCATAACGGCAGATAAAAGCAAAATCGCATAAACGCATGCTGTTTTCGTGTTCCATTCCATTTTCCCGTGTTTTATTCCACGTTTGCCCTAATGCGATTTCCAGCGAAGAGATACAAAACGTAGGAGGTGAAAAAGCTTTTAAGTACAACTAAAATTGCAAAATCCCACAATCACAAATGGCGGAAAAAATTGTTGACACGAGTTCACAATAAACAAGTATTTACATTAACATAGTGGAAATAGTTTTTAATAAGTAATAGAACCACTTACAAAAATTTAAAATACAATGATGACAATTTGACTAAACTCATATCTTTTACAAATAAGCGCAAAAAATTTCACTTATGAATATATACGAATAAGTCGAATAAGTTTTCAGGTCCGAGCAATTTAATTTTTCTTAAGCATTTACAAAAATTAATTATTTCACAATAATTGAATGCCATTAAAAAATCGATCGCTTTTGGAACGTAAACAAAGGTATTTTTGATGAAAACTTAAAAAACTCAACTTTTCGACTTTTACATTTCACAATTGAAATCATACATAATACATACAAAAATATATTAAGTATAATAATATAAGAAATTACCGTCTTAATACTAATTTGTTACTCGTATTAGAAAACCAACAATATTTTAGTTCTATTTTTTATGTTCTCAAATAATTTTTTACATAAATATGTTATCGCACTATTAACACTTACATGCATATTTATTAACAGATACCGCGGTAAAATGCATCTTTGCTATTTTTCTTCAATTGTGTATTCAAATTAATTGAAATGTGTATTGTCACGCTTTATTTCCTTAGTACGAAGTCTTGGTGCTTAGTTTTAGTCTCAACGAAAAAGATCCATTGTTTCAATAAAGAACATATGATTTAAACAGAGATAATAATAATGATGTTATTCAAAGAATAAATGCTAAGCAAATGCAATTCCCTTTACTAACTTTACAAAAGGCATTGATACTTAGAATTTAAAGTTACATGAAAACTTATTACGTAGTTACATAAAGTAAAATTTTATAATTCTAGAGAACCCAATACAACAAAAATTCTACCTGAATATTGTATTAATTACTTTAACATTGTATTTCAATAAAATGTGAGGATATTAAATTTTTTACTTCCATTAGGAAAACTATTGAAATAATTACATAATTTAATTATTTTGATGCACAACAGAATAATTAAAATCAAATTCAGCTGCAATTAAAAATTAAAAATCGATTAAGGGACTATAATGAAAACCTATTTTAAAAACACTATTGATATATGCCGTCACAAAATATATTTCAATACAGGTATGGTCACTTATAAAAAAAGTAATTAAAAGGAAAAAATTAAGTTTCTCCTCATTGAGTAGGTAAAACCCTAAGGAAATCTAATGATTTGCATAAAATTAGTTCGACTTTAACATAACCAATACCAAGCCTATTGAAAAAAAATTAAAAATATGTAATTTGGTAAAATTTTAGTTGTATATATTTTTTTTGTTTCATTTTAATTTTTTCTGATTGATTATCAGTTACATTTTTGAAATTGCTTTAACTTTTATAATTAAAATAATAAGTTAAATACTTTCTACTTATGAAAATCTTAACATACTTAAATTTCATACGTGAAACTTCAATGAAACTCTTTGTCATAAAGTTTCGATAGAAGTGTTCAACATTACCATATCCAATTTATTGCAACTCGTACGATTCACCTTAATAAGTGAAAAATTTAGATATTCGATTATTGAACATTCCATTTGCGATAATACTTAAATTCATAATCCAGGTAAACTTTTTTTAATAAAAATTCTTGTTTTTTATGCCATCAATTAACATTATAGATTATTACTGAATAAAAATTTTACTCTGGTTTCTGAATTTTAACTGAATAAAAAACACGCTACAATTTCCAATAGATGTTAAACTAGTAAAATAATGTTTTCGAATATTATTGGAAAGTTATAAAATTTACAAAATTGCTGACATTGTTATGTAAAAGTCGAATTGTATAAAAGTTAGTTAAGTTACAAAGTATAAATGGATCAATTAAAACTTTAATTAAAAATAGTTTTTTATTCCTATAAAAAAGGCATGATATCATCGTATTTTTATAATTACATCCTATTTAAACACACATGAAGTGTACCCCTTGTACATAATACACACAGCCGGGCTAATACACATTTATCACCATAAAATTGTATTATATATAAAAAGTCAATTTATACATACATACTAAAAAACTAAACTCCAAATAAATAAAACCAAATATTAAATACATAAATTATTTTAAACAAAAAATATAAAATATGGTTTTGTATTTGCACATTTTAATGAAATCCGATCGTTAAACCAGAATACAAGAAGAAAATTTTTTATATTTTTTATTCTAAAAATTATTTATAATTTTCTAAAAAATAACTCTTAATATTTAATTTAATTATTTATTTCCGTTATATTATATTTTTTTATGTTAACTTTAAATTTGTTGAACGCACCAATTAAATAATTATAATATTAAAATTTTCTAATTGTGCCCTATAAAAAAGCTTCTACCTTTTTTATTAAAAATAATTATTACACATGTCACATTTTACACAAAAAACAATTAAATATAAAATAACAAACAATTTAATTTAAACAAAGATTTTAGAAAATTTTCAAAATTTTTATGAATTCAATTTGTTTCTTAATTATTTATTTATTTATATTTTAATTTTTTTTATATTTTGATTTTTCGGAAACGTTCTTTTCCTTATATGAAATTGTAAACTTTGAAAAATGCTTGCAATATTGTCACTTACACTTCACCACTGTTAATAGTGATTTAACGAAATTTGCTATGGATTATGTTCCTTAATTTAATTTTGTTAATTTATAATTATAAAGAGCTAATAAAAGTTCAAAATATTGCGTAATTAACAAATTTTGAGCGAACCAATGTTTGTAGAGCAACACTCTTCTCTTAAACAAGAAACAATACGTTTTTTAAAAAACTATCTTCTAGTTATTTAACAACCTGATCGAAAATCTAAATTTTTATTCACTTTCAAATCACAAATTCCCTTTTTCTAATGAATATTTCATTTTTCTAATTGATCTTTTTTTTTAATTGACAGAATGTTATAACTTACAAAAACAATGTGAATTCAATTTTGAAAAATTCTTCTCGCTCAAAAATTATATTATACACTCTCTTCTCGCTTGGTGAGTAAAATAGCGAGAAACATGATCACTCCTTAAAATAGTTTTGGCAATACACCAAAGCATATATTTAGATATTTGCATATATTTGGGATGAGAACAAATAAATTTAAAATATCTTAAACATACGTAATCGGTCAAATTCTACGATTAAGTAAGGCAAGATAAATAATTTTATTTTTTAATGGAATGACATTTACCGTTAGCTTTTTGCTTTTGTAGAAATTTACAACTACTTGCAGTTTCTGAAATATATGTATTTAAAAAATTTTTTTTCGTTTTCTATCCTAAAGGTGTAAAAGATTTGTAAACAAACCGAATGGACAAATCAAATAAAATTGATAAGCACTTTCTTTTATTTTTTTGTTTTTGTGAAAAGTTCTCTGTACGAACATAAATCTTCTTAAGTGAAAAATATTCTATTTATCATAGAAATTTTTAATTAAATAAAAAAAAGGTTCATTTCATTTTCCCCCCACATCTGTCTATGGGTTTGCTCGTCTTTAAACTTATTTTCAAAACAACAGACAAAAAATTTTAGTTTCAACAGCAAATTGTTCTATGTTAAAAACAAAGTTTTCCATCCGCTCTTGAAATTATTGCCTACTAAAGATTTACAGCCAGAGATTTTTTGAAATTTTTTCATCTCGAAGCTATGGAAGGCAGGTGTTATAAATTCATCGTATTTCACATATTAACATTTCAACGGAAATGCATTTTTCCATGTTAAAAAAAATTTAAATAAACTATTGTTAGTGGTCTTCCAGGCTATCT